ATGTACTTCTAGCATTATCCATATTATATAGTCCATCCTGTCAAACGATCTTTAGTTAGGTTAATCCTGCATATGTATGTATGCATGCATGCATGTGTGAATGAATTACTGAATGACATATATGTACATCTGTTAACGTAATTGTGCATTCGAGTTTTGGTGAGCAGAAAAATGGATTCTCCTTTCGTGTAAGTGAAATATTTTATTGCTAAAACTTCTCTGTTCGGTGAGAATTAAAATCAGATTTTTTAAAAATAGAAGTAAATAAAAAATGTGGTTGAAAAAGTTGTGAATCGCATCAAATATATGATTAAAATTAATTATTGACTTTGATTTTGATAAAAAATTAGAATTTAATCCCTATCAAATAGGGGTTTTATAGTTCAGAATGGTAAATGGGGGTAGAGATGGCCAATATGGTCCATGTCCCGAAACTGCGTCATGCCTGAATCATTTTATTTTTGTATTTTTTAATTTAAATTCCATTTTATATATAAATAAATATAATAAATTAAAGGAGACGATAAATGTGAATAAATTAATCCCACCCCGCTCTCATTCCTTCACAGCCCCATTGTCATCCCTATCTAATTATCTATTTTCATAAGATATATCTAAAAGCATCCCCTCGTAATCTTGTTTCCGATAGAAAAACACTGCCTTCGCCCTTGAATTTTAGAGAGAAGATAGTTGCTTCTTGATTTTTAGAATACGCTATGAGATCAGTTATCTTTTTATCCATATCTTCTATGAGATCAGTTATCTTGCTTGTATTCGAAAGGCTAGTAACTTCATGCTCATTCTGCCCGAAGACATTGACCTGCTAGAGTCGAAGATAGTTTCATTTACTAATTTTTTTCACAGCAAATCTTGATTGATGAATTCAATTCCTAAAATTATCAATAAGCCGATTTTATATTTTTCTCTCTCCTAGGTCCTCAAATGGAAAATTATTCGATTTGCCCTTGACTTGGAGGCTACTGTCATTCGAGATCTGCCACATCTAGAGGCGACCTCGAGGGTGTGAGAGTTGAGGGACCGCACAAAACCTAAGGGAACTCAGGAAAAAAAATTGTACATATGTGTGTGTGTATATATATATATGTTTGAAATATTTTTTATTAATTTTTACTTTTAATTTTTATTATTATGTTAAGTTATAGAGTACAATATTTATGAAAAAAGATTCCAAAAAATAACGTTAATATTTTTTATAATTTAACATATTATTTATTTTTCTAATTTTAAACTATCTTGCTTTCGAAAAAAAATATTTTAAACTATCCATTTTACCAGCTCAATCACAAACGTCCAAATAATCCAATTAGCTTAATTTACTAATTACCAACCTAACAAAACAATAAACAACCTAAAATTCAAATGATTAAAGTGAAGAGTGAAAAAATAACCCCAGATCCTTTTTTGTCATTTCCTTTTCTCCTACCATTTAACCCACGAAAAACAATCAAGTAGAGAATTGCTTGCTCTACAAAAGTACAATATACATCATAACATCACAATTTTATT